TTTCTAGTCAGTATTAGGGTCCATTATCCCCGAATGGAAAAAGCTTATCCATGAGGTAGTGAGTTCCCTTTCAAAGGATGTGATCAAGCAGAGATGGACTGACTACTCTTTAGGGTATGATGGAGGAGATTTATCTATTGGGTATGGCAATGGCCTTGCCACCGTCCCAATCCCCTCAGCCCAGGCAGCATTTGGAAAATATGGAAACTGTTGGTTGGTTGTTAACAGTGCTTTGGGACTTCTGCATTCTAAAGGTCCTTTCTAGTTCTGAGTGGCTTTTTGGTACATGTGGCTAGTGATTCCTATAGCAGGAAGGGCATTTGGTCCGAGTTCAGGCCTAAGTATCATTCACCCTAGAGTATTGGATTAGCTCTCTAACTGTGCTCCCTCCAATCTGGTTCACTTCCCTGCTGTCCCATCTTCTTACTGTTACCATGTATATCTTATAAAATGCAGAACTGATAGCACTCAGCTACTTAATCATTTTTAATAACAAATGTCTTACTCGGGTAAAGTCCGACTCCCTTGCACGTTGTGTGAAGCCCTTCTCTGTTTGGCGCCTCCTGCCGTAGCAGTCCCGCTTCCCACTAGTGTGTGGTTCTTGAGAGTATGTGCACGCCACACTTAGATGACTTCACGCACTTGCCTTCGTCGTTCTTTCTGTGAATACCTCTTCCGCTTTAAAGAGTTTGGCATTGTGTCTTGCCATTCCCAAGAAGGCCCTCAAAGGTCAGCCTGCCTTGTCTCCCAACTCTTCCCTACCCTGCATCCTCCACGCACTCTGTCTTCCCTGGCAGACAAGCTCCTTTCTACTCCAGGGACCTTAGCCAAGCGGTTCCTGCTCCCTGGAATTCTTTTCTCCTTGCTCTTCACCCACAGGACTCCTGCGAATCCTTTAGGTCTCAGTTGCTGGGTCAGCTTCCCTAGGGAATCTTCCCCCAGGCCTGAGATTCAATTAGGTACTTCCCTGATAAGTGATTACATAGCATCCTATAATTTTCATGGAAATTATCCTCTAATTGTAATTACAAAGCCTCTTGGTATTATTAATTCACTGACTGTCTTGTTCATTACTCTTATCTCACTTCCTACTATAATCCCTGGTACATAGTAGGTGCTAAATAAATATTTAATGAATGAATAAGAAAACAAACCCTTTCCTGATGCCCGAAGAATTCTTTTTATAACCTTCCTTAGTATTTTATATCCTACATCCCTATATGTCTGGGAGTTCTTTGAGGAGTTGGGGCCATTAATCTATTGATCACTTTTGGATCTCTACATGTCAGGAACATTATTGTTGTTCATTATAAGAACCCTATTTCATTTTACATCTTAGTCTTTACTAACCCTTTACTATCCCTATCAATAAGTGGGGGGTATTAAAAAATATTCTAAGTTGTTGTAGAGTGTTTTTTCTTTAATTACTCTTTTTATTAGAATTACCTTATCCCTTGCTATACTCAAAAGTGTTGGCATGGCAGGTATTATCGTAATGTCCCGAGAAGTATTAAACACCTATGGTGCACATATTCATGGTTTTTTAAGGTCTGTTTCTCAGCAGGCTTTGTTGGACTTAGAGAGCTTATATTGTTTATATTTTCAAATGCAAAAAATAATATTATGAAAGTAGGCAATTGATTTAATGTATAGAATTTTATTTACTGACCATTTTCCTCAACCATGCTTGTGTTCCTTAAATCACAGTATTTTATTGAGATATAATTTACACATCATAAAATTTATTTTAAGTGTACGATTCAATGATTTTTAGCAAATTTACAGAGTTGTATAACCATAACTACAATGTAGGTTTTTTTGCTTTTTTTTAAAGGATTCTTTAAAAATTATAAATCACAGTGTTTTAAAGAATAATTGGGCTTTTTTTCCTCTCTCCTCCAAATCCAGATTAGAGGAGCCCCCCTTCACCTTTGGCTTATTAATACATTCTTATTGGTATTTAATTTGGTGGTGCTGGTGTAAAGTTCAAACCAGGAGCTTATGTCTGAGTGAGCAGCTTGAGCAATAAAAGGATCCATAAGGATTGTTGCCTTGTGCAGATTTCCTGGGTCTAGAGTGGTTGTCACCACTTGTGGTGAGGTGGCAGAGGGCATAGGCAGGAAGTGGGAGAGGAAATGAGATGCTGGGTGGAGTGGGAGGAGAGGAACAGATGGGGAAGGGAAAGAAAAGAGGAAGAGATGGCAGAAATAATGGGAAGGCCATCGTGTTTCTAAGAAGATATGAAAATTTTCTGATTCAGAGAGGTTATTTGTTAAAATTTGAACTTGGAGGGAAAAAAGCCTTTGAGTCAGTTTATGAGCTTCTTTTTCTGTTTGTTTTTTCTCACTTGCTCCCCCCATCTCTACATTTTAATTTTTACACCTTATTTGGTACATGCTTCTTTAGTCTGGTCTAGTGGTACTATGTTGCTGAGTGAGCAACCTTCAGGGTGTTTCTCGTGCTTTCAGAGCACACTGGGGAGGAGGCATTCTTTGCCTTAGGGAGCGTCTGTTCAAAAGGTCCTTCGTTAAACAGCAGATGATTCACAGTTGTAAGCAGAAATGGGGAAGTGAAATCCTGAACTATAGGTAAAGTTCAGATGTGGCATAATATGGCCATTGCCAGGAGAGCCAAGGAAGGAGGTGAATCATGACTTCCATTGTCATTTTAGCTTTTTAACAAGTTTCTGTAGGAACATCAGATGTCAGTGTTATGGTTCACTGGTGTGTTTCTGGTTTTCTCAATAAATGGATTTGATTTTAATGCTGAGTCAGAAAGATATCCCCACTGCCTAAGGTGTCTTTGCCTATCTTGGCAGTTGGAATCCAGTTTATGAAGCAAGAGTTGAACAATCTTTATGGTAGAAAGGCCCTAACTAGATGTGTTTTCTGCATCTCTCTCTTATGGAACTGTTCTTTGAATGCTTAATATAAAGTAGGTATTTTAGTAGTATGAAGATATTTCAATAATATACAGAAATGGCAGAGAGTAAGATGTGCTTAAAAGCTTTCGTTGAATGAAAGGATGCATGAGTAGAATGAATGGTATACATGTTGGATATGTGTACATGTGGTTCTTGGGCTTTAGGTTTTTGGAAGTTTTGAGCAGCCATTGTTGAATTGCAGTAATTGCATTGTTGAAACTAAAAGGTGAAGTTCATAAAAGTTTCTATCCATATACTCACTTTGGTATTAGATAAATCCCAGAGTTGTCCTACATGTTGTATTTTCTTCTGCTTTCCAAGTGCTGCCATTTTCACTACTCTGACATCCAGATGACCTTAAATCTAAACATGAGCTCTGTACTTGGCACATAGCACATGTTCAGTAAACATACATGATTAGGTTGGCTTTAAGGAAATATTACTCTTACTGGTCTCTATTAATTGTGCCTCTCCGTTTCTTCTAGTGTTTTCATAAATCTTTAGGATTTTTACTTTCTTCAGAGGTAGAGAGAAATGAGTTATTTCACTTTGGCAAATATTTCAATAAAGAGTAAGAGAGTGGATGACAGGGATATCTATAAAGACTTTGGGGTTGCTTCTTAAGCCCTTGTTTTAAAATTCTTACAATTAAAAAAAATCAAAGGTATATTTAATGTTCAGAGTTTATTAAAAGCTTCAAATGCAGTGATCTATTATTTGACATTTTTCTTTCTATTACATTTTAGTTGTAGGCAAAAATACAACTAAATACATATTACTATTAGGAAATCAAGGGTGAAAATACCACATGTAGATAACTAATTTAAAGCAGTTTCCTCTGCCACATCACCCCCCCAGCCCCCTGCACTACCCCTACACAGCTGGGAGGTGGAAATGGTGGTCACCCTAATCTCAGTAATTATTTATTTGAAGGTTTTGGAATGTATAGTACCAGGTAGCTCAAGGGGAATTTCATGTTTAACTAACGGCTTAGCTCCTTGTATGTAATACTCAATATGATAGCTGAGCTACATATTCACTTTAAAGCAGTGGAGGAGGTTAGCTACATTTCTTAACTGGAATCAACCAAAACAAGACTCTTCCCAGGCATACAGAGGAGTGGCTGTTTCATAGCACAGTCCCTTTGGCTCTTCATTCACTAAACCTATTTAAAAGAAGTCCAAAAGAGACCTATTGTAGACTGAATTTGAGTATGCAGATACTAGAGCGTTCAAGTGTATCTAGGTGGCAAAAATATTTACATTTGGGGGCATCCGTGTGTCCATATGTGAGTGCCTCCATGTGGAGACTTCTGTGCTATTTAATTTTTCTAATGTTACAAAAATTACTAATATCAGTTCTTGATCATTCTTTGTAGAAATGAATCATGGATAGAAGATGATCCTATACTACCCATCCTAGTTTTTCTCAAAGAAAAATGACTTCAACTTGAAGGTTTTAGTTTTCCCATTGAATTTAAAAGAAATACCTGATGTCCTTAAACTTGACTAGTAGCGAGAGTGTACATTTTAAACCTCTTTTAAATATGCAGCCCTTCATTTCAGGAATTAAGATATGAACACTTTCCACATTTATAGAAGAAACATAAACATTTAATTCTGTATCCCCTTCCAATGTTTAACAAGCATCAGGAAAAATTTTAAAAATAAATATTTCTAGGAAATATTTGGAAAATTTTTATGTAGGTAGAAAGAGAAGAGAGAGTACAAAGAAAGCAGGTGAAATGGGTTGTGTCATTTTATTTGTTAGTATTGGTGGGAAGAGGTTGAGTTAAAGTGTACCACTGAAAGGAAAGTAAAATTTAAGCTGCTTCTACCATTAGTAAGGGAGCATCCTTCATGGGGGTGCAGTTGGGTGCCCACTTAATTCTCAGCAGTATAGACCCAGTTGTACCATAGACGTTTAGTCATCCACTACCCAGGGCTTTTCTTTGAAATACGGACACCCCTAAATCCTATTTTGCATGTAATTGAAGTTGGCAGACATGTTAGGAAAAGCTGTTCTTGACCTACTAGAAAACAAATAATTGTATTCTGTTTCTGATCTTCATTTATAGCACCAGCAACAAGTGGTGCAGGCTGTGGAACGGGCCAAGCAGGTGACCATGGCAGAACTGAACGCCATCATTGGGGTACGTGGCCTTTCCATTTTAGCTCTGATCTTGGTGTTTGTCATTAGCTCTCTCGCTCGCTCTCTCAAGTTTCATTCCATCCGAAGGGCAAAAGGCAGTAGAGGACCACAGAGTGAAAATTAAGCACTTTGCCTTTAATCTCATATAAATTTTGTTGGCTACCTCAGATACTTTGGATGGTATTCTCACCAATTCAAGTTGACATGTTTCTGAAAACTCGTCTAAGGAGACTGGATAGTTTTCATAATATTTCTTTCCTTTGCAATCAGCGTCTGTTGCTAACCTATGCCAGAAAAAGATTCATATTGCCCTGATGTTAAAATGACCTGATTTCTTTTATCTTTCCTCAAATATAGAGTACCTTAATATCATTTTTAGTGAAAGAAAATTAACATTTTTTGCATCACCCTGCTACTCTGTCTTGTGATGAGTGATTTTTATGTCCATTTTTAGTAGAAATAATAGATGAACAACACCTTTTTGAAAATCAGTGGCCCAGTTATAAAATCTTTTCTGGTGATAGCATTAATAATGTTGCTGGAATTCATGGGTTTGGGCAGTCACTCCAACTCCACTTACATTTTTGTTTCCCCCAGATTAAGGTAACAAGTAATAAAATTAGGTGCTAAAACTTAGAAATAAACGGAGAAATCATAGCTGAAAGAGCACAATACTCACATCTCTATCTATGTAGTTGGTACAGGCAGTTCCTTAGGTTATTGTAATGAAGACACTACAACTGTACTTGCCTCTTTCTGCCCCCTCCCAAATACTTTCTTTTGTGTATAGATTATACACAAAAGTCCTCTTTTTTTCCCAGTGTATCAAACACACTTTGAAATGCTAATTATTCCATTTACTTTCATTAAAATTCAAATTGCTGAGTGAAGATGCGGATAAGGGTCGCCTGATAATCAATCTCAAGTGAAGATATTGCTTCAATTATGCCTCTGTCTTTTAACAAGGAAATCAGAACTCTGGGACGACTGTGATGGTGGTGGAGCAGATAGTCTGATTGTAGCTTGTTTTTTAATGGGCTATTTTGAGCTCTATTTTCTGCCCTTCTGACCACACGAAAATACTGGTAGTAAATTAGAAGACGTAATAAATGGAAAAGTGACCTTTATTTCTTCAGAAGTGCCCCTTGGAAAGAAGAGGCTGAATCAGAACAAGCCATGTAGACTTATTTGTCATACATTTTCTTCACTAGGGAGTTGGGGGAGAGATGAGAGAGGCATACATTTCACAATTAGTTATTTCCTAAAATTCCAGAGCTTTCTTTTTAAAGTTAGTATTATATATAAAATATTAGCTGTGTTTGCTTGAAATGTGTGTTGTATTCAAGTTGGGATGCATTATGGTTACCACCTCTCCCAGGGTCACTAGGGATAGAACCTATATTCCTCAGGCAGTACAGTGCCTGCTGATGAAGGGGAGAGAAGGGGGGAATGAGAGCTTGCTGGGTCATTTCTGGCTTAGTGTTCATTGTTTGTATGAGCTACTAAAATATAGGTCTCCAATCCTACCTTATGTCTAGTTGGCATTCTTCTCTAGGAAAACAACACTTTTTTGTTTCTTATTCCAGTCTTATTAGTTACTGTCTGTACAGCGGAGAGATTAATCTAAATCAAAAACACATTGTTTTGTGTTGGATGTTTCTTAAAAATATGAGGGAAGATAAAAAATCAGAACAAGTTCCCTTCCCTTCACATCAAGTATATTTTATTACTCTTTTGTATCTATTTCATTTTATATACTTTGTTTTGAATGGGATGGCAGATTGCCTTTTCTCAGGGAAAGGGTGATTTATTAGACTGTAGCTGAATAACTGATATAGATTTTGTATATATGGATTTAATTATTAAAATAAAACTAATTTAATTTTGTGACCTAAAACTTATTTGAAGAACTAACTCAGTAGAGCTGCAGGATCTGGTGGCAAGTCCAAATTATTTGTATCTGAGCAGAAAATGAAGTCAAAATCACGTAGTCTGACTTCTGAAAAATAGATCGCAGAAATGGAAAAACAAACCCCACAGTTTTGGGGAGCCACAAACCAAGTGAGAAGGAAAGAGCTAAAAAATAAGCTCACTCGATGCATTTCTGCTACTGCTGCTCTCTGTCTCCTTAGTCTTTGTCTGTTTCAGCCCTGGTAGTGCCTTGTGGCTAGTAGTTTTAGAGTTGTAACATTGTGAAATTTTAAATGCACCTGCTGTTGCCCTTGGACATGCTAGAGTTGTGAGGTGATAGTGTTTTGACCAACTACCCAAAGTGATCAGGGGTCAATGTTAGATTGTTAACTTGAGTCTTAGACTGTAGTCTGCAATGATTTTCTGCACCAAGGGGATGAAAATTTTTCTCCCAAGAAGCAAAGACCCATCTAAGCGCTTGCAGACGTTCATTTATTTATCACTACGTATGTATCTTTTTTATATGTATGCATACCATCCAGACAAGTGCAAATGTTCCCAGATTTAATGAAATCTGATGAAGCACCTTTTTAACTCTGCAGTATTATTCTACCTTCATTGGTAAATGAGCCAAACCAGTGATCCATGCTGTTTAAATGCAAAATGCTGAAGTGAGCCCAGAACCTAGAGAGGCTGCTTGTTCTCCTGACAATAAGCTAGTTGTGCTTAATGGAATGAAACACAGTTATAATGATTTCTTTCACAGGTCATGTTCAGTTTAAAACTGTTGATAGATTGAAATAAGTTAAATATCATTTATCTTTTATTTATAAGGAAAATAAAACAGGAAAATTCCTGTGTTTTCTACAATGAATATTTTGTGTTTTGTTTTGAATTGGTTGTATTTCACGTTTCCTTGAAGCCTTCCCAGAGTTCCCCCAAATGGGCTGAGGGAATGTTATGTATCTAGTTTGATCTTGTCATGTGTCCTACTAGCCACTGTGTTTTTAAATTAGAATCTCTGTGAGATCACACTGTTGGAACAACACACAAATTGTAGTTTTAAATCAGTAATATGATCTAATTAGAAATGATGTTTTCATTTCCTGTATTATTAAATTGAGTCATCTGACTATCTTAAAATGCTTTTTCAATCCATTGCACTATATAATCAGCACATGCTGTGTGAATGTAGTTATGCTTAATAAAGGAGGCTGACTTAGGAACCTCGTAAAATTTCACCAAAGAAGCTACCATTAAGAAACAAAAGTTTTGTTAGTATAAACATTGGAAAAGAAAATGTTTGGCTTGTGAAAATATAAAATGAGGTTCCTGTGGATTACCCCCATTCTTTAAAGCTAACTCTTTGAAGAGAAAACATGATAGAAATAATGCATTTTTAAAAAAAGCATACCCCCTAAAAAATCCTTCAGAACAGGTATGCTATGGTGGTGTAGTAAAATGCAGTTTAGCACAAGAAATGCTGAACCTCAATTTTTAGCAGTGACATTTTAATGATAGGAAGTCTGCAAAATTATTTGCCATCAATTGTGAAGGCAATAACAAGCCTTGGTGGTTTTTCACACTCTCTGTGTTAAGTGCTTTCAGAATGACAGCGTAAACTGTGTTAGAGAACTCCAAGGAAGTAAAACTGATTAAAATGTTCATGCTTGAATGGTGCTGATGGAATAGTTCATTTGGACTTTCTCTACCTCCTGCAGCTCAAGCTGAAATATTAAAATTCAGTGGATTTAAATCTCTCTCCTCTCAGCTCAGGAAAAAAACATTACATTTTAATAGGTTTTAAACCCATAATTCATTGGTTTGGAGCAGCACTATTAAATCTATTTAAATATTACTTGTATTACTAAGGAAATGATTTAAATGACTTTGCCTTTACTATCCTATGTGTTAGAGTTATTTTAAAAAATGAAAGACAATACCTTCGGGGTTTTTTCTTCCTCTTAGCATTTTGTTTTATTGTCCTTGTCATATGATTGGCCCTTAAATTATATATGTATACATCCCAGATTGGCATTTTGGCAGAAGGTTTTGCAGATGACAGTTTTCAAATATATGCCCCTCATTGTAAATTTCAAAGCTGCCATTTTAAGTTTCAGAGGCATTTAGATGCACCATTGGGTGATTTCCCTTGTAGCCTCTTTTAAAAATTATGAGCATTAGGCAAAAAGACTGAAAGATATAAATACGTGGGCATATATAAAAACATGTATGCGTTTTCCCCTCCCTTACAACACAGACTCCAATAACGCAAAATTTCAAATAAAAAAAAAATACAACTGCTTTTTTAACAAAAGCAAAAATGTATTAAGTACCCAAGAGCCCTGTATTCATCTCTTCTGTGTTTTCTAATAAAGGGCTTTCCAGAGGTATTGTTCATTTTGTAGTAGTTGTGTTTATCTTTTGTGGGGCACAGATATTGTCCTTCCTGGGCCCACCTCATAACCCCTTTTTCTCTAGCCATTACAACATGTGTCCTGGCTTGGCAGCTCTGCTCAGACACGCTGAAGTGCCTGCATTTCCCAGTGCTTTTTATGGGGCCTTTGTGGGACTCCACCTTTCATTTATGCATATGCAGCTCTGAAACATGGGGGAGTTACCACCCTGTGGGGTAAATCCCGGACCTCCCAGCAAAGAGTCAGTGGAATGTGCCTCTCCTGCCCCTTGGGTGGACAATTTTGAGGTGCTTTCTACATTCCTCCACAAAGGGTCCCAGTGGGATGGAGCTTCAGTTGCCCATGGTGGTGATCAGCTCTTGGTGAAGTGATCGAGAATACATCCTTGTTTTGCGTTCCTGTCTTCTGATTCATTTTCCCTAGGCTCCTACTCCTGCTCTGGCATCATCTCTCAAAGTTACCTGCAGCCAAGCTCTGCTTTTCTGGAGGAAGTGAGACACTGGGGATTGGACTTCATAGGCCTCAGGCTCTGTAAAGGGGTTTTCTGGTGTAGATAGGCAGTTATATTCCTCTCATGGGCTAGGATCATGATTTGTGAACAGCTCCGCTTTTACATTATTTTTTAAATAATACTTTTCAGTAAACTTACAGATGAGCTTCCCTTTCTTGTTCT